TTCCACCGAGCTTTGATAAACGAAGCGTAGAACAAAGCTTCTCCTCCGGCCCTTGTATTGTTGGACATGCAAAAGGCCCTGGGTATCCGGCCAGCAGCAGAGAGTGTGTCCGTGAACTTCTTCCATTCCCTTGATACTTGTTGATGTCAACCATTGCGGTTTCTCGGCTTGTTTTCGACTTTGTCCTTGTAGCGTTTCCTTTTGACCGGTGGCATGCGAAAGCCAACTGAATACTCATGCATGGCACAGTGGCCTTTTCTCCAAACTCAGGTTGCGGCCACCAATAGCGCGTGTTGGTAGTGTATTCTATGGCCCCCCCCCTTTGTAGATGATTCGGTCCTCTAATACCAAAAGCTTTGAGTAATATCCTGATCTGATCTGTGGTGGTCGTCTTCCTTCTCTTGTTTTTAGATTTCCGCCTGCAACGGAATTCTTAGATCAGTACACCCTGGCTACTTTTGGGGTTGTAAAAGTTAGATCGTGCACTCCAAGTATTCCTTCTTGTTACGAGTCCCACTGCTCATGGCAGGACAGTAGTGAAAGACGTTATGACAACCAAAGTGTTCTTTAATATAGTATAACACCTGGTCGTCTATTCCTCAGGATCGCATTCTCAACCAGCAGCCATGAAAGTTTTGGTAATCTTGGCTTGTATTTGTATGGGCCATCGATCCCATCAAGCATTCGTTGGACAATTTCAGAAGAGCAGGCTCAATTCTGCCATGGCATAGTGAGTATCATGTCTCGGAATTCAGGACATCTTTCGTGTCCGTCAAAACAAGATGAATGTTGTCTGCTTTGTAGCATACCGATGCTGTTTTTCTTGAATATTGAAAGAGCCATGGCTTTTTTCAGGCCTTCTCTACTCATTGTCGATGAACCATCAGGAAAACCTGTTGGGCTTGGAAAGAGGTACTATGACTATTCGTGCTGGAAATGTTGTATGGGTACTTCCTGGGTGAACATGAAGGAGCTGCATTGGACGCTACAGCAAAAGCGCATCCCCCCACCCCCGATCGATTGGCAACTGCGTCGTAACGGAATGCATCCTCTTTCCTTGGATTGCTTGACTCACCTTGGTAACTGCGGACTGTTTCACTCACGCAAGAGGTTTTGAGGATTGCCATGCCATTTCGAATCACTGATCCGACATTTCTTGTAGGTTGGCAGGATAAGACATTATGGAAAGTGACTCTGCTGGTATCCTCGGGCATCGCACGACGAGCAATATATGCATATCGCCCGAAAGAATTTCCTTGATGGTCTTTTGGTAGGCCATCACCTCCAATCAGCCGGTCCTCACTGTTATAAGAGACGTTTCTTCAAGCGTGAGTTATATCGTGTTCGGGCCGTCGGGAATGTGCGAGCCTAGTAGTAACATTCCCAAACGCCAGAACGGACCGTGACCGGTGCTTTGCGCTGAGACGTGGGAATATCTTGGCTTGCAGTATGCTGCGCAGTCAAATCAGTTCCTATTGCGGCGGCCATGGTATAATGGCAGCTGCAGCGGCTTCTTCATGCTTCTCTTCTTCTTGGATTCACCTTCTTCTATCTTGTTCCGTAGTCTCTCCAATCATCGGCTCCATTGACAGCTTGTCTCAATCGTCTTCTGTGACAGATGTCATCATCTCCACACTCATAGCCATCGGTAGACAATCAGAAGAGAACACAGAAAAAAGAGTGGCTAGCTAGAGTCAACATTGGTGCATACAGTGGCTCAAAGCTTCCCAATGATACAAGCTCAATGTGAGAAAATGGGAAAATTTATGGCTGCGAGTTGGGCGAAATACTCACAAAAATACTCCCACCGAGTATCACCCGAGTACTCACTGGTACTCACTTCGAAGTACTCACCGAAGTACTCACCGAAGACTCAAAAAGTACTCAGATTCCGGAGTCATGTGAGTACGGGTATTGAGTATTACTCACATTTTCGAGGGTCAAGTGAGTATGGGTATCGAGTATACTCAGTACTCAATACCCGTACTCACATCGTGTACCCACAGCGTGTATTTCATGTGAGTCCCACACCCTGGATGCATGGCCCACCGCCCACCGCCCACCGGTCACCACCCACCGCCGCCCACCGCCAGTCTGAAACTTGAACCTCAGTAACTTTTGTACACGCAGATCATAATACTGTGAGGCTGTGAAGCCCAGCATAAAAAGGAAATTGAGATATGGGACAATCTCCCCAGAGAAGGCATCTTGTTGTGCCATGGTCACTTCTCACTCATAGATGAAAATTTTCGTCCTAGGGAGCTGTCGCTCATGGAGTAGAGGGTACAATAAAACATACGGATGGAAACGTGAAGTCCAGGTCGAATACTATTGGCGTCATCACCAAACGCTGCATGTTCTTTACATGTACCTGCACGAACCGTAAGGTAACGTAGCGTATCGGAATGTACCAAATAAATAATGCCAATCCTTTCCCCAAAACAAGGACCTTTCCTTCGGTTCCCTCAAATCCGCTTTGCAACAAAGTCCTTCCGGAGCCCGTGCAAATAATAGACCCGCCCAAGGTTCAAGCACCTGCCTCTTCCTCGCCACCAAAGACATAGTACAGTATAGCTACATTGTAGGTGCTTGCAACCTCCTGTTTTGGATGCCACGAAGGAGAAAGGACCTTTTTTTAGCATCGTTTCGCATCGAGCGAACAGCCAATCGGTGCTAAATCCAGCACATACTCTATTCCAGGATCCAGGTTGAACGTTTGCACGGGTAGCCGCTCCCTATAGCAGCTTCCGACTTGGTTTGTGTCAATCTCAGCAGCCTGATGACAATCCCACCAACCACCGCTCGCACATTCAATCCCGGCAACCCCGGCAGCCACAAAACTTGATTCGATTCGTGTGAAGGACGTCATGTCAACAACCAGAACATCATTTGGGATCGCGATTTATCAAATCCGCCATGGATCGATGTCGCCATGTCTGATGAACCTTCACTTAGCTTCGGAGCTCTTCCGTTCCATTGTGCCGGTGGGAATCGAATCAAACCGATATCAGCGCTATTAGTACTCTACAGTTCCGATAGTCTACTACTAGCTAGACTAGTATTACTAGTACTAGTACGATGCCACGCTCGGTGTTTGATTCTGAGGATGGGACTCTTTCGTTCAAATCGGTGCTTCCCATCAAGACCATGGTCGGTCTGGGAATTCTGCTGGGATCTCTGCCTGGCTTGGTGATCCACATGGTGATGATGGCTACTACTACTAGTATCAGTCTTGTTCTTGTTCTTCTTTTCATTCCCTTGTTGTTGGGCTTTGGCATGATGTTCCAAGGGACGTTGTATCCCGTTCTGTACAAGAAACTGACGGGCTCGAGTGTGGACGTACTCACTCAGCGGGTTTTGAAGGGTCGGAAAGCGGCCATTCGTTCCGGCGACTTTGTCGTGTTTCTCATTGGAGCTCGAGCGAACAATGATTTCGATCCGTACTATCAGTGGATGGGAGATTCCATGGCGAAAATGTGGAAAGAACTAGAAGACAATCCCGATCTGGGATGCTTGAGTACCGAATACTACTTTGGTCCCACAGGTCACTTGACGGTGCAGTATTGGAAATCACTGGATGATCTTAATCGATATGCCCGCAATATGAGTAACAAGCATGCCGGACCATGGGCCAATCTCATGGCCAAGGGCCGAATGTCTTCGGATTATGGCTTTTGGCACGAAGCCTTTGAAGTCAAGGAGGGAAAGTATGATGCCATCTATGTCAATATGCCTCCGATCCATTTGGGCAATGCCATTGGGTCGTCGTTGGAGGACTGCAAGGGAAAGTATACATCTGCAGCAGGTCGGGCGGGAAAAACGGATGGCAGTGATTATGCAAAGGAAATAGGGAGTCCAGATTACTAACTAATAATAAGCAAACCGAGCGGATGCAAAAATACAAACCTTGAAACGTTTGATGACCATCAAACAGAGCGAAGGCTCTCACTGATGAGGAGCCACAAGCAAGAATTGAAGAAATCTATAGACAAACAACAATATCATGGAATATCATCCACCCAAGCCCACAATAGTCTTTGACCCTAAACGCACGGATGGCGGCGCTGACTAACTACACAAAGGATATTGGGAGTCCAGATTACTATTTTTAAATGAATGTAAGGGAGGGAGGAAGGAGGCAATGCATGTATTCACCTCCTTGTTCCATCCGCTTTCGGGTCGCTACGAATATTGACGCATTCGACTACTGTACTTGTATCGATCGCTTTATTATTCAAGTTATGCAGTGTTCCCTTTATTTAGTTATCATATTATGTGTATCTATGTAGCTACTTCTTCGTTTTGGTTTTAGTTTGCTATATACGGTACCCTTCTCAATTAATTAGGCCGATGGGGACGTGAGGGGTTTTCCCTGTTGCCAATCGTAACATGGCAGGGTGTCAGCACTGGCACTATTAGGAGACGGTGACCGGCTGCTCTTTTTGCTGCTCGATGGTCTTCGGGTGGGTTTTTTGGGTGCTGACATTGGTGTGACGGTGCGTGCATGGCAGCTTTGAGGACTGCCTTCCAGCTTACTACTACTATTGTCCTCTTTGGCCGAAACGGATCGATGGATCTTGCGTCGCGGTTTTTGTGGTGGCGGAGAATTATTGCTTCTTCGTGATCCCAAGACATGGCTGGATTTTGCTCGTGTGAGCTTTTTCTTGCGCTCTTGTTTTGGTTCCTCCGCCCCAATGAGGTTGAGGTTCAGCAGCTCGAGATTGGGTGCTTCCTTGGTGCTCTCCAATAGAGATCCTTTTCCAAGTAGGGAGATGCTGACACGAGGGGATCGTTTGGGCATGACGGCGACATTGTCGTTACCGATACAGGTGCTGGCCAAGCCTCCGCTCGAGGCAGATCGCTTCAGTTGAAGGTTGGGCTTGCCTTTGAGTACATCTTTGGACTTTTTGCCTCCCAGATCCGACGTGCATCGCTTGAGTCCCGACTTGGTGGGCTTGGGGGAAGAAGAAGAATGGCTCGATGCGGCCGTGAGAGCCGCCATTCGTTTGTTCTTGATGGATCCACTCTGTCTGTACTGATCGGCAGCATCTGTGGACACGACCTTGCGCATCATTTTCTTGGGATTGACGGCCGCCTTGCGAGCAGACGAAGAATCCGAGGACTTGATACGACGAAGGTTTCGGCTGGGGCTGGGGATGGGACTTGCGGAACGGGTCTTTCGGCTGGTGCTGCTGGTATGATCCGAGCGATCCTTAGTTGTGGCAGTCTTGGGGCTCCTCTCTGACGTACGGCTAGTATTAACGCCCGCGAGAGAGTCATCGTCACTATCGGAATCTTCGTCGAGCAAGTTCTGAACGCTGCCTAGTTTCTTGGAGATCAACTTGTGATAACTCTTCTTCTTGGTACTGCTGCTAGTGCTGTTTCGACCGGATCCAAAGCTTCCGGCACTGCAGTCGTTGGCAAAGGAGTCCTCTCGTTGACTCACCACACTGCACTCATCGTCATTGTCAAAGAGATCGTCATCGTCATTGTCTTGGAGGCTTCCGTCGTCACAGCCAATGATGGCAATCTCGGTTCCTTCCTTGGTGCTGGCACGATGGTGATGATGACTGGATGCGTTTTGCCACTTGAGCATTGCAGAAGACTGCATACGGCGGAGCACAAAGCTGTTGATCGAACTGCTCAGCACGGTAGCATCATCTGCTGGCTCACAATCATAAGAGCAAGAGTTGGAATGATCACGCATATCACTCATGGTAATTGAGTTTTCGCTTGGGAGCCCTTTCAAGTGTGAGTGGGTCGAGATTGTGAGAAGAAGAGAGAGAGAGAGAGAGGAGTGAGAAGAGACAAAGTGGACTGCATCGATACGGTACCGGGGTCCGCTAGGGATGCCTCTCTGCCCTGCATCTCTCGGTGTGGCTAGCTGTATTGCATAGCTCATGTGGATCGGGCTAGATCTTAAACAACGAAGCCTTGCTGGATATCGGTAAGACCTATGCAACGAAGACGCTTGCATTGACGGAGCGAGAGTTCGTTGATACCAGTATTATTGTATTCATGTGGGGTGCGTACATCATGTAATCTTGGTTCTGCTTGGCCGCGCTTGGAAGTAGGAAAGAATCCTACTAGATATTCTTGAAGTGTTCTCATCCCTTCGAACTACGATGCCAGTTCACTGACTATAGACACTTTAGTCGTCGCAGAAGTAAAACCGGTCTGAAGAGTTCTTTTCTTCAGAATAGTCCACGATAAAATTTGCTCCAGTGAACCATTTAGAGGACTGCTATGTTACTTATGCACTATGTGCTCTAGCACTTCAGCCATTATTTATGCCTGCAAACACAAAAAAAAGCAAGCGGCTAGCTACTATTAATAGTAGCAGGATGCAGGATGAGTAAGACTTTCCTTATTCACTGGAAAGGAAAAAGGAATCAAAGAAGAAGGCCTGTGGCTGCGTGATCGATGAAGGCCCTAAACCAACTAATGGGTTCTTCAGAATGCAGCTGGGACTTCGTCCGAACTTCTTGAACTTCACCTTCCATTTACTGAGCTTTAAAAAATAAATCTAACCAGGCAGGTCTCAGCTGTATTGGAATTAGGAGCATTCCATTTAGTCTTAATTAATGCATTTTTGGTGCCTTCCTCTCGCCATGTGCCTCGCCATTCAAGCGATAAGACCCAGTGAAAAGGTTTACAAGGATCTGGTACCAGGTACCAGGTAACAGCTATGGGAACTATTAATAAAAGGTATAAGCAAAGTTGTTCATCACTGGTTTGACTACTAAAAATAGATGCAATTAATCAATCAATCAATAAATCCAGTTTTGGCCTTAAAGACGGATGGTCTCCAAAGATCTCAAGTTAAACAACCAGCCACTAAACTCCTCACAAACCCCTAAGTCCTCACTTATCTCGGCTTTTGGCTCCCTTGAAAAACGGGTTCGTCGTGCATGCTTGGGTGAACTAACTTGCGGTCCGAACAGTACCGGTGTACCGGTACACGTATTGCAATCGCCCTTTCAACTCCTCACAAACTTCTATTTCCTCGTTTCGGCTGCCAAACAAAAACTGGATGGGCAGCTGGCTTGTGATTTGTGATTGGGCGGGTGTTGCTTTAGACGAACCCCAAATATCTGGCTAGGGTTGTCTTTGCGCGGCTATAAAGGGGCTTAGGCCTACTACAATGACATTGTAGTACTGCATTGCATGTGGATTGCATGTATGTTGCTTTGTTCGGGGAAACCTGGAGGGGAGATCGGTGAGGTACATGTAGTGAGGTAGCGATCGCTCCTGCCGCTTCTTGGCCACTGGCAAACTGGGGTACATGGGCCCTAGCTCCTAGCAACGCTCAAACGCTGAAGCTGCGCATGGCTGAAGTGCCCAGTGCCCAGAGGGCACTTGCAGATCTTCATGAAGCATTGCTTCAGCGATTACAGCAATCTTGCCAAAAGGCAAGAATTTTGGCTGTTGATGAACTAAACCGGCGGGACCTGCGCTAGCAAGCTTCACTTCTTTCAAGCACATCTATGTTTCAGTCACTGACAAGCAGTTCTGCTGTGGGAAAGGAAAAAGAAGTTGGCCTTAGGTAGATCTAGCATACTGTAGAGTGCTAAACTGGAAGTGCTGCCAAGGAGCTCTGAACCATTATAGCTGCCTTCCATTATCATGACTTTTTGGCTGCATTGCTTGGGAGCAGTGAGGAAGCCATGCAAATGAGGATGTAGATGGGACCAAGTTCTCTTTGGCCCCTGCTCTCGTCTTGGAACACAGATGTAGGGTCCATCAATAATTCACCCAGCCAAGAATGACGTTCACTCTGACGACACAGCCGCGTTGACAAGGACATGTTGACAAAGCAGCCCTTTGGATTCGATGTTCAATGCATCCAATAATGTCCAATGGCTCCTTTCTATGACATGGGTTTTCCGAGTAGCGGTACAGTAGCAAAATTGAAGGTCGCTTACCTTCTTCACCTTAGATGATGGAACGAGCAGCTCTAATTTTATCATCAAAGGGCCGAAAGTGGAGGCATCCATTACCATTGCATCTTCTTCCTGCGGTCTTGCTTGGATGTCAGCCACACTTTTGACTACACGGTGTGAGAAGGGAGCGAGGATAGAAGGTTCAATGCCCCTCACCTCGTTCGCTGAAGATCTCACTTGATTCTCTCAATACAGCTGGGTCTTTTGCTCGTTGGTAGAATTCTCTCACTGCATCTAGATTTTGTTCGAGTACACCGAAAACTGAGAAGAGCACATCTTTCGTCTTTGTTGGTTTGTGGTATCACGTCTATCCTTGATGAGCATCTTGACCCGTCTACCAGTGATATCGTCAAGGCACCTTTCCTCCCTTCCTTTTCGCTGAAGATCTCTGTTTCCCATTCTCTCAATGCGGTACCGGTACGGCTCGTTGCTAGAAGATCTCCCATTCTCGACGATTCTCTCAGTTCAAGTACAGATACCTTGTTGCAGAACAGGGCACGTCATCGGTCTAGTTTTCTTGTCAGTGTCGGTTGCTATCTTGTGGCGTTACGATCTATAGTCTTGACGTCCAGCCCCTCTACCAAGCAACGCACGTTGGACAGTTCCAACGGCATGTACAAAATTGTTTGGCCAATCCAAAGTCGACCAGTTTCGTGGTGGAATCATCATCATCATCATCAAATGGAGCAGAATGTTCTCGGGGCAGAGAGGAAATTGACTTGGAGATACTTTAGGTTAGAGTGGTCTATGGCTATGACTGACAGGCCAAGTCAAAATTTCCCACACCATGGGCATCCACTTTGAGTCTCTCTTCCATCCCAACCTCTACTTTGCATAGCCATTAAATACCTGTCACTGGCCGATTTGCCAAAAGGGCATTCATGTTTTTTTCGGTTCACACGTTGTCTGGAGGTCAACTTGCACCCTTTTTGAGAGGTATACTTCAAAATTTCTTCATGTCCAGCCAAAACAGCTGCAAAAGCACAATCATCCAGAACAATTGGACAACACTTCTAGAGGTCGTTACAATCGAGGCACTGGGAGAAGAAAATCAAACAGGAGTATTACCGGTACAAGTAATGTTGTGGCCAGGCAACCCGGACGCCGAAGCTGTCTGTCAGTGCCGGCAACCAGGAACCTGTCTGTCAATCTTGGCAACCAGAAAACTGTCTGTCAATCCCGGCAACCAATCCCAGCAACCAAAAAGCAGTCTGCAGTCTGTCAATCCGGGCAACCAAGAATCCCAGCAATCTCGCAAAGCCAAACCATTTGGCCCCTTGAAGAAGAAGTAGAACCCTCAAGAGTCGATGCCAAAGATCCAAATTCTTGCCAAAGTGGGGAAAGATCCAAATTCTGACAAACGATCCAAAGATCGAAGGGCTCCACCTTCCGCGTACTTGGTACCTGGTACTCTGCTAGTACTAGCTAGCTAGCTAGCTAGTACCATGCATGGTACTGGTACTGATACTGGTACGAACAGCTGTAAAAGACTCGACTCGACTCGACTCGACTCGACTCATTGACTCGACTGTCACTCGAGGATGAGCAAAAATGCCACTACCACTAGAGTGATCTGGGTATTAAGACCTGCAGTGCATTAAGACTATTGTAATATTCTTGGATTTGTACAGTAATTCCTATAGTAACAGTACATACGGTACGGCCTAGCTACCGGTAGCTACTGGTACAGAGGAAGGAAGGAGTGTCGATACCGGTAGAGGTGCTTCGAACCACCGCACCGTAGAGGTACGAAGAAGGAGTGTTGATAGAGTGCTTATCATGTGCTTATGCATGTGCTTGGAGACACTCATCAGGCCTGTAGTTTGCACTCGATAGAACCGGTACCGGTACAGTAGGATCCTACGTAGACTCAGTACTAGAGTCTACGTGTGACGTCATATGGTCTTAATCTGCAGAGAAAAAGAATTGACGGAGAGAAGTCTGAAATCTTCAACCGCCCGTAACTCCACCAATAAGTACACTATGAAGTTGCGAGATTTATGGCATACTCAACTACATGTGTTCTATCGTTTCCCCTCTTTACATGTACTATATTCCATATACAGCCCTGAAGATAATATTGCGGGATTCGGTCGGTCTTAAAGCCCAGATCACTCTACATTGAATTTGTTAGCTCTTTTTTTATAATTGTGTCTGTAAAGGAAATATTATGTTTTGGTTGTTTGTTTTCTATTGGATTTGATTAGATTGCATTGAATTGGATTGAATTGAATTAAATTCCATTTTACTATATAATTAAAAAGTACTATTTTAATCCAATTCAATCCAATGCAATCTAATTCAATGCAATTCAGTGCAATCCAATCCAATTTGTCTTAATTTTAGTCCAAAGCTTGCATTTCGCTTTTTAAACTGTTATTTGGAGTCGCAATTGAGTACACTACAGCGATATAGCAACATTTGCTCATCCCTCTCGTATTTTAAATAATTAAGTTTATTAAAAAGAATTTTGTAGAAACGAAAGTAACCAAAAAGTTCAAATGAATTTAGTACCACAAAAGCGACGCAGCGACGTCGCTGCGACGTCGCTGCGACGCTGTGTCGTTTTCGTGGGACTCAATTTGAAAGGAACATTTTAAAATATGTTTCAAAATATCCAATCCAACAGCCTGCCAGCAACTAACTCTTCACAGAGTGTCAGAAAACCTTGGCTGGTCTGGAACCGGTACGTACTAGTACCACCGACTTATACCATAGTACCTTACAGGAGATTCTCGTAGAGGCAGCAGCAAGCACTAATAGTAGGAAAAAGACAGATATTGGTTGACCACAATCGGATATTGCACTATTGCTAGCTAGAGATAGCTATGCTCCCTGTGCAGCCAGTAGCCCCTTGTTGATTGCTGTTCTTGCTTCAAGCACGACAATTTTTGCTTGGGCAGACTAGCTAGCATAGCCCTTTCTTCGTGCAAAGTCAAGTCAAGAGGAAGGAGCGCCCTGGTTGTATCGTTCTACCGTATTAGCGTTGGTGGTCTTGCTCCTTTGCACATTTCTGCACTCTACTGGACAAGTGAATACTATATTGCAAAAGGCATCTAGCTAGACTAGTTTGTTGGCTGTCGTGACACTCCTTCACTCCCTCCAAGGAACGACACCAGGTATATCTTGTTCATACTACTAGTCTAGCTACTATGGTACTCCCACTCGATCCAAACAATCGGCTCCACACCCCGAGTCGGCCCACAAACAGTCATTGTGCAGATTCTTTTGCCCCGTGACGGCATTGCAGGGAAATACAGTGTCATGAGCACATTGTTGCACGGCGTGTTGTTGCAATTGCCGAAATGCCTTTAATTGTCGTGCCACCACTTGTTTTCCCAACTGAGCAATGGTGTCATCCAAGGATTGATTGGCAGCCTGGTACAGTGCTCGTTCGTATTGTACTATTTGAGTGTTCCATTCCGGTGTTTGTACGAGTGCGTGCATGCCCGGTGTGACGATGGTGGGCTGTATATAATAGCATGTTCCTTGAAAGACGCCATCGTCGTAGCCGCCACTGGTTTTGGCTCCTTTGAGGTAGAGTAGATCCTGGAGCGGCAAATCCGGCAAGAGTAGCTGCAAGACGACCAAAGACTCATCGAGGCGTTCGGTAATGGCGATAAAGTCGTAATCGTTGTCGATAATGGTCTGAATAGCTTGCAACTTTTCCGCGTGCGTGGCTCTTGGTTTGACGACGCGTTGCAGAGGCAGTACTTTCAAGTAGTGATCTCGTTGACGGTGCGCCCATGCCTCAAAGAGTCGTGTGGTTGGGTCTTGTTCTGTTGTTGTTGGCATTGGCATACTAACATTGTAATTGATAGTTGCAGTGATATTGGGATGTCGACTAAGAACAAAGTAGTTGAAATCGGAAATCAATCGTTGGGTTGGTTCTCGCAGTGTGGTCCACAGAAACGACCGTGTCTTGTCGCGTTGACTATAGAGTTTGGATGCCTTGGTATGATGAAACCCCGCCGGACAAAATTGAGCTGGTTTGGCTAGATCTAATCGTTTGGCTAGATTGCGGGCTATCCGCAAATTGACTCCGGCTGCCGTGCTAGAGGCCGTTTTGCGGGTCTTGAGATAGAGCATACCGCCTCTCTTTCTATTATTGTCCATCATATTGGCATTGGCATTCGTCGAGTTGAAGCCGGCGCCTTGACAGAGATTGGCCAGTGGATAAGGCCATTTCGAAAAGGCACGGGGAGTGACAGTCCACTTCAATGGGATATTACTACTGCTACTGGTACTGCTACTGCTACTGATATTACTAGTGCTACTCGTAGTCTCGGAGAAATCTCGAAGCGTGGTCAACAACATCTCGTCTTTGCCAACGTTAACCAACACCAAGAACCCAAAGCCAAGCATCAGAAAGGAGACACTATTAACAGCATACTTCCTCTTCTTCTTCAAGTTGGAAGAAGATGCCACACGTAATGATGAACCATCCATCGTCTCTTCTCGTCTACAAGGATTGCTCATCAGGGCTTGACAGATAGATGACATGGGTGCAACAAGCACCAAATTTTCAAAAATTGTGACGAAGAAAGTCCAAACCGCCATCTCCGCTTGGGCCGTTGATACCGGTACCTGGTACCGGTTCGGATAGAGCAAGTGTGGATCCACAACGCAAACAGTGGAGTCGAGTCGAGTCGAGTCCAGTTGAGTGATGGTCAATCACCGACGAAACGCCAGTCCCCTATGACAAAGCTAAGTCCCCTATGACAAACCTCAGTCCCCTATGACAAACCTCAGTCCCCTATGACAAACCTCAGTCCCCTATGACAAACCTGAGTCCCCTATGACAAACCTGAGTCCCCTATGACAAACCTAAGTCCCCTATTACAAACCTAAGTCCCCTATGACAAAGCTAAGTCCCGTATGAACAGGAGTCGAGTCGAGTCGAGTTGAGTCGTGACGAGTCGAGTAAAGTCGAGTCCCAGTCCAATTCAGAGCTCGAATACCCACAGCTCTCTGAGACGGTCACCGTCTCGCTATCGGTATGATACCGTATGGTAGGGCGTATCGGATCCTTCAAAGTGACAACGATAATGGGGAACTGACACTGGTAATGACAATGAGCTTTCCCCGCAGTTGTGATGGCAGAAAGCGACAATACAAACCAAAGTAAACGAGGGCAAGTAAAGCAGGGCATGTCTGGAGTTGAGTTGAGTTTGAGTTGCGTCGAGTCCGAGAGGGATTTCAGAGCTTTGGGGTGTTTTAATACTCTGCCTGCCCAATGGTTTAGCAAGACCAAGGGTGGTGGATTCGGCAGGTTCAACAACAACAAAGAATGAATGATCCCTGAGAAACAGCAGCAATGGAAATAACTACCAGGTAGGGGTACCGGTACCGTACCACCAATACCAGTAGGGCTTAGTGCTGGTAGCGTAACGACTTTAGCGATGTACATGTAGAACAAGTCGAATTAGCCTGGCCCTCACTGGCTTCCATCTCTTCCCTACCGGTACTGTACTCTTTGGAAACCCCGTTGAACTTCATCCGACCAGACTGTCACTCTACCATGGCACCATGGCTAGTCTACGTGTAGCTAGATAAATCCACCTCCTGCAACCCCACAATCATGTAACAATCCACGCCATGGATCCGGACCGGCTCAAGGACGAACAGCTTTTCAAATTAACGCGCCAAAAGGCCGGCCAGAGTGAGCAGCAAAGCAGCACCCCACACCCTTGATCTCTTCCACTAGTCTTGCTCCTTTGCTCCTCCCTGCCCTCCTGCCTTCACCCCTTTCTTTGGTTTCCATGTTGCCCTGCTTGCCCACTTGATTGCTTGCCTTGCGTTCCTGCGTGGTGCCCTCCCCTCGAGCTCTGTCCCCATCCTCAGCTTAGCTCTCTAATCCATAGTAACCTCATACCCTTGGTTCTACTACCGAATGAATAGACAGCACAATGCCACAGATCCAATGCTATTGGCTTTCTCTTTCTCTTTTGCTATCTTTCTCATCGCTGCTTCCCTTCACCATGGCTGCTGGTACACCCACCGTAGCACAGCTTTGTGGCATGCTGACTAGAGTTGTCGATATTGCTAATGAAGTAGAGGACTTTGGAGCATTTTGGGACACCATAGATGATAGTACATTTCCATGGCACATTCCATTCCTTCCAACTTTTTAATGGCAAATGCTCAAGCACTCAGTTTGATTCTGGAAAAGCGTCAATGTGGCTTCCTTCCATGTGAAATGGAACTTGGAGAGTGTGGATAATGATTGCAACTGGGGAAAAGTCTTCAGCCCTTTGAAAGACAATCACTTCTTGGAAGAGCTGGCGGTTGGGCTGGATTTTCTGAATGGCCCTAGGTGGGAGGATTTTCTCTCACCCACAGGGTGGGATTGGCTCTATATCAGTCTCTGCGGGGTACACTGCAACATACTGGAAAAATCCAACACAACATTGAAGAATATCAGTTGGATTGACCCAACAAACCAATATCCAGAGGCAATGGATCCTGCTCATCATTCGCCGCCTTTCATTTTCTCTCTCTCGTTTGCTGGTAGTCACTTTTGTGATCCTCGGTCGCTTTTATTCATCCTTTGCTTGCAACATGGGGTCTTGTCCTTTGGGTGCTTCTTTGTGCTGTGGTTTTGGTTCTTTGGGTGTTGGTTGCTTGCGGATTCTTCAATTTGGGTGTCGGGGGGCGCTGGTCTCAGTTTTAGAGACGATGTGGCTGCCAGCTTTACGAATGGCTCGGATGAACTCTCCCTCGTCCACAACATTTGGATGCCTCAGCTTGGACAAGAGTTTGACTTCTCTCAGAGCTGTCATGGCTGGCAATGCCTTCCTCGCTGTTTGGTTCATGCGGTGGATTGATGAGTTAGTTTCAGGGCCCAAAGTCAGCCCGTTTGTTTGTGGGTTGCTTAATTAATAAAGACAGATCCAAAGGTACCCTGACCGATCTTGCTTTCCGAGGAAAAGTCATAAACTTCCCTCACAGACCGGACAGCAGCGAAAGCGTTTGTGGCACCGGTATGGAATGGGTTGGGCTTGTTCTGAAGTGGAGAAGAGGATGAAGAAATCCTTCCATGCATCGATCAACTTGGGATTGGCCGAACGATTTCGACAGCTATTTCGACATGCCGCCGATTGAATCGTCGAACGTCTGTCTCGTGACTCTTGCTTGACGCAAGCTCGTGGAGACCTGCCAACTTCTCCTCCAGCCTAGCTATGATAGCTCGTAGCACAGTCAGCACCCAAGCATCCCATCCCGGTACTCGTAAGCGACCCGCTCCATATTGCTCGATCGGATAGTAACTGAATGTGCACAAGTGTAGTGGGAGGATGATATTGCATGGCTGGTGAGAGGAAGACCATCAGTTACGAGTGCTTGCTTGGTTCTCTCAAAGAGCTTCCAAGCTTTGAGAGCACGAACCGATCCTGGCTCCGGCTGGACGTGGCGGTATTCGAAGCCAATCGATGGCCAAGACACACTGTTGTTTGAATCCATTTCCTGGAAACCTTTAAAAGAAAGATGTTGTTGGCTATGTTACAATTGTTGTGTTCGATGTAGCCCCTACCGGTAGCTAGGTAGAGGAATCCAAGTGGAATGTTGTGTTTGGTAAAGCGAGCTGGCTAGCATCTTCATGTATCTTTTGTTGGATGCTGTTCATGTCTAACTCAACTCTTGCAGAGCTTGACGAATTGCTTCCATCTTTTCATGGTCGACCTCGTACTGAATGTCATCTTCCGCACTGGCCCCCATGGGTATGTTATTGAATTCTTGTCTGCTGAGGACTTTTCTCCGTGCCGTAAAGTGGACGGCTTGTACATTGGTAGTTTGGACTAGCAGTTTCACATGGTCAGGACGGACACCACAACCTGCCATAATGGCAATGCGACCCTCGGCAAGTTTGGTCAGCTTCTTCAGGGTTGCCGTGCCTTGCTCCACAGAGGGTGCCAATCCAGACGTCAAGATTCGTTTGGCGCCCGTTTGAATGACAGCTTCCAGCGTTACTTCCATAGAAGTTGGATTATTGGTCCAGTCAAAGGCTCTATGAAATGTGACGGAAAGAGGATGTGCCAATTGTACCAACGACTTGGTGACGGGTACATCAATACATGTAGTAGCGCCTTCTGTGAGACACCCCAGAACAACCCCGTCTGCTCCTAGCTGTCGTGACATTTGAATATCTCGTTTCATGACACTCAATTCGTCTTGAGAATAGACAAAGTTTCCCCCACGAGGACGAATCATAACGTACAATTCTGTTGTTCTGGTCGTTGCCAGTGCCTCGCGGACCATGGCAATCATTCCTGCCGACGGTGTCGTCCCTCCTTCGTTCAGATTCGCACACAATTCCACCCGGGTAGCTCCATACCGGCTAGCAGCTTTTGCACCCTCCACCGAGTCGATGCAGACTTCTATTTCTGTCATGTCATGTCATGTCATGTCATGTCATGGACTTTTTCTATGTTGGGAGCTACGGGTACCATGGAAGACACCCATGTGCGTGGTTTGCTGGGGATAAATAAATAATGAGGTGCAGCGCGCGCGCGACGATTCAATCTTCCTAAAGGTTGGGGTTTTGGATCTTTGGAGCCTTTGGATCTTTTGGATCTTTGGATCTTTCATTCGTGCATAGTATCTTTTCAACTGTCGGTCGGAGCCGTGCTACCGTACTAGTTTAAGGGTGGTCCTGAGCCATGAAAAAAATACATCCATTTCGCTATAGTAAAACAGTACACAGTTCCTTTTCTGGCTGTAAAATAGTCCACAACTTCTGTTAACTCCAATAAGAATGGATCAACACCAGTGCAATTAACTCCAAATTTATTGTGCTTTATTGTTTGTATTTGCTGTGACAGCTCAAACATAAGAGACAAGCATATACTTTAATAAAAGAGGTTGATTTCGGTCACATTTTGGCCTTCTTGGATGTTCTCATTCGATGAGCAAATGGCAAAGGGCCCAGGCGACATCAAAGCGTGGCTTGCCAATTGGCTGCCCGTCGTCGACAAGGCACTCAGGGACGATCATGCGCGCACCGCGCCGAACAATGACACAGGGTAACTATGCACAGAGGGGGTCTTACCGTAGCAATAGATGGCAATCCAGCCAAGGGTAGCTAGTTAGTCGTACAGCACCCTCCGGAGTTTTGTTAAATTTCTCCGGTGGGGGGCTTACACTAGGCCCATCCTAAGTGGGCGCACTTGTGCGCCTGATGTATATGGGTTCGTCACGGCACCGTTCAGCGGATCGTCTGACGAGGTGTAGCCTTTAAAAATAAAATCTCGTTATTTTTTTTGGGATGTTCTCATTCGACTATAGTGTTAAGTCTATTGAGTACCGTTTACACTTGTAAATCCAAAGTGGGTATTGAGCCATTCGCTGTGTAGGATTTTGTACCAGGGCTACTGGTAAAGCTCAAAACCACTGCTAAACTAGTATGGTATCTCGCACCACTTTGCCTTGGACTGTTCATCTGAATGATTTGTTGATCGGCCTTGGCATAGACTAGCCATCTCAGAAAGCGGCAACTGTTGTTTGGAGGCATCAAAAAGAGCAGTTTTGATTCTGGCTAGCTACCCAGCTAGTAGGCGCGAGAAGAAATGCAATGAAAATGGTGCACGTACTCGGTATCTTGCTTGCTGCAAACCACTTACTTTTCCTCCTTGGGTGCTTGACCTCTGTTCGTCTGAATGATTAGTCCCTTCTGCCTTGGCATGGATAGTTCCCATCCGCAAAGTGTACAGTCGTGTACTGTTGTTTGGAGGCATTTTTGATACTGGCTAGCAAGCTAGTAGATGCGAGCGACAAGAAATGCGACGCAAACAGGCAAACAGTCTTACGTGCAAGCCACGAACGTGCTTCTCAACAATGAGCCACAGCTCACTCATGCTACGAGCAACAACGATGGCTTTGCACGTTGCCCCGTTATACAAGCCCTCATTTTGAGTTAGGGCGTCGAAGCTAACATAATATGAACAGCTGAAGAGGAACTGCTGGCTGCGGCGGCAAGAGGAACCAAAGGATCATCGAGAGGATATATAGAAATGCAACCCGTTGCGTCAATGTTGCGGTGTATAAGGCAGATGCCGATATCAGACGGCAAGTGGCAAGACTGCTTTAAGGTTGTGTCCGCTCAGATGGTTGCATTGCGCCTTGCCTGTGGAGCAAGATTTTAAAACGGAGTTGAGTGGGTCACAACATTGCCGAGGAATGAACCTCGTGGTATCAAACACCCTTAACACTCTGACCGGTCCTCATAGCCAATCTAGCAACAAGGGTTGCAAGTCGATGAGTATGTTAGAAAGGTATTTTCGTATGACGGACAGACGACTCGGGATCCGCAGTCACGGTTCGTGATTGGGGATGTGTGCCTCAAATCAGATGGTTATTCGATCATCATCAGATGGCCAGGTGTACGAGGAACGAGGACAATGGTCGTCTAGATGATGCAACTACAACAACTCTTTACCGTTATTCCATGTCCTGTTGTCTTGATCCTTCTCAGAACATTCTTTCTTCACTTCATTGATACACTCCGAGTTCTCCTTCCTTCTTCGGCATCTTCTCGAGAAGGTCCTTGATGTACTCTTCGTCCGATATCTTGAACCCGTCCTTCGCTAGCTTCTTGCGTTTCACGTCGAGTCCAATCTCGAACTTCTTTGTGGTTCTCCTTGATGTCCATCTTTATGCGTAGTATTCCGTTCGTCGAGCTGCTACTTCACCACTGTCTTCAGCGTCGTAGAGTCCAGCATGGACTCCCACATGCCCTTGAATTTCCCAGCAGCATGGTCAGTCGTTTGGTGTGAGGCCAGTAGGTCGAAGGCGACTTGCCCTTCGATGGTCTCCACATTGATCGAGTCCAGCAGTATTCAGCAGCCTTGCTGTTCTTCTTCTGCAAACTCTCGACTTTTCCACTTCGTCATCCGACAACTTCCCTGCACCTGTAGGGTTTTCCCAGTTGTCCGGTTTGATCTCCGTAGAGTCCTTCATCAGTTTTACGTACCCATACTTTGATAAATGGGCCATCATCTTGACCTTGTAGAACCTGAACTTCTCATCTTTCCCATCGAAGATGGGATAACTTGCTCGACGATGATACCTCTACCTCCGTAGACATCTTGACTTACTTCTCAACACTTCTCTTTTCTGTTTGACAACCTGGATCCAAGCTCACTCTTTCCTGATAGCTATTGTTTTAAAACGTGTTTAAAAGGTGTGAACTTGAACGACAATTTCTCTAATTTAATAATATCCTTCCAGCTCTACTGTCTAGTAGACTGGCTATTCGTTTCTTTTTCTCTTTTCTCTCGTTCAGATTGTGAGCTCTACAACTGAGCTCCGATATGCATACATATACCAGGATTTTTCGATCTCTTGTTTCTCGCAGTTTCATTTGCAGATAGATCTCGTCGATCTATCTCCTGAAGTGCATGGTTGGCCCTGGAGGGCTTTCCCACTTTACTAAACCTATGGACCTTCATCCGTCCATTCATTTGTCCGTCCCATCGCTCCTTGCATTCGTCTCTTCGACCTAACTTCCTAACCT